ACTGTTTAACTCTGATTCCACTGTGCATACAGACACCATGATGTGCTTAACGATAAGATGATACAGTCACATCATAGGACCAAATGCTAAACAGCTGCAGAGGAACCTGTAGTGACAATCCTATCCCATGCAAAAGAAAATAGGCAGCCAGCTATTACGACATCTAAAATACTCTCCTCATGGCATCTAAAAACATGTACCCCACTACTGTAGGCCTTTCAGCTACACAGCACCAGAATACAACTAAATGATGCTGACAACGAGAAAACCGCAAACATCCAATTACCAAACCATATCACACTGCATACAGCTCACGGAATATGTGTCGTACCTTTAGAGGAGCTTCTTTTGTACCAAGTCATTAAAGTGTATCAACCTCCAGGTCAGCAGTGACAGCACAAGGCAGCAATGAGCCGTGATAACTCATGTGGATGTCTCCCTAAAACAGAATCCTGTTATAAAACTGTTATATTCTGATGCAATGTGTCAAACCTGGTGGTGGTGAGTACATGAGCAATTCTCATGGTGCGGTTTGATTGTTATGGAGGCAGTAATGCAGCAGCTCAGTACTAAGAAAGCATAGTTTTCCTCCAAGACCTGTGTCCCACATATCTGTCAGCCTTATTCTGAAAGGCTGCAATGAATAGCTGCTTCCTGAACTTGCCCAGTAATGGTGTCACATTGTTGGGACATGAACCAGTACAGGCTGAAATGAATGTTGAAAATAAATGTAGTCAACTGGAGCAATAAATTCCTCAGTGCATGCTTTACTGACTGAGAAAGTTGAGGTTGTAGTTGCAAATCTATTGTTCTTCCAGCATCCAGTGGCGTCATTGACAGTGATGTAGCTGGAGGCAAAACGAACTACAGGCTATTTCAGCGTCTCCCATCTCTTGGTAGCCAGGGGGTGCGCTCCACATGCCACTCAAAAACCAAAATTCTTTTTTCTCTTTGCTTGTGTTGCAAACTAGCTGCACATTCAACAGCAGGAGTGGCATCCCAAAATATAAATTCAGAGGATGTTGTGGACGAGGACACATTTTACAGTAGTTTGGCTGACTCAGATATTCATTTATTTGAGCCAGGGCATATGGCTGAAGAAATGCAGCGGGAAGAGAAGAAGGCACTCAATGCATCCTGGTACATGTAGGCACTGCCAGCACACCTCTGCAAGCAGTAAACCTCAAGCTTTCTCAGTCAATATAGCACACACTGAGGAATTTCAAGCATCAGTAGTCCCTTTTTCACAGAAGACATTTTGACATATCACAATAGGAACAACACAGGTGTAAATAATTCAGTTAATGATGGCTGAATTCCATTTAGCTGCTTTGCTTTCAGGGCCCTGACATTGTGCACCCTAGCTCACTGTCACTCTCAGTGGAATGACTTAAATACAGCACAGCCATTGTTAGTGCTATTAGTAACATATGTGCTTTCCCTGCTATGACAAGTCAAAATGTCTGCTTTAAAAAACAAAATGCCTGTTGACCACAGTTACCACCAACACTGATTGACAGTCAACATGAAAGGTGCCACAGTTTCCCTCTTAATGTGCAAATATTTAACATGATTTAAAGGCTGGATATTTTATTTGTTTAAATAAGATATAGTTTCTTTCTTTGTTTGGAGCCATAGCAATCATCATGGCAATCAACAGTCACATTATTCTCTGGATAAATAAACTGGACAACTGATTGCAAGCCTTCCTACTGGTTTGTGGCTCCAGTTAAAACCTTTATTCCATAACAATGGCAATGCATCATACATTATTTGAAAGCTCAGTATGTAAAATATTAATTTAATAGTCCATACCCACTGAGTACAGCATACCATGCCATAGTCATACCAAAAATTAGATAAAACAACAACATTCAGCCACAGGAGGAGCCACAGCAATCGGTCACATTTTAGCCATTTTTAAGCATTTTTCTGTTGTTATAGCGCCACCCAGTTGCCAATTAAAGTTAAATTTCTCCAGTCACCTTGAGGCGTCCTGTTCTACATATCTACCAAGTTTAGTAAAAATCGATATGGCGGTTAGGCCTAGATAAGAAATTAGCTCTCTAGCGCCCCCATTTTGTTTGATCGAGTCAATAACAGAGGGGTCCCCTCCAGAGTTGGGTAAGGGTTACTTTAAAAGTAATCAAAGTACTTTACTGCGTTACTTTTTTTAAAGTAACCAGTTACTTTACTGCGTTACTCCCTGAGTAAAGTAACTCAAGTACTTTAAAAGTACTTCCAACGTTACTCCCTGAGAAAAGTAACTCAAGCACTTTTAAAGTACTTTTGAGTATTCTACATTTCCTATTGGGCAATGGACCACAGGGCGCTACATTTTTTGTCTCCAAAAATTAAAGTTATGGACCACTTGCCCTTCACTGAGATCCAATTCTCCTATCACAGCCGTCACTTTGACCAGTAGAAACACAGAACGATCTGCTGCCGTAGACAACTGTATGACAACAACACACCCCAGCGTTTTTAATATTTCCTCTAGGGATGTTGCCACACAGAGTAAAAGGGGGAAATGATGGTGTGAAACAGCAGAGGCACTTTGTCAACCCGCTGAGAACGTTACTGTCATTAGCATCAAGCTAGCAAACAATGGTACATCCTCACGGTCGGACATAAAGTAATAACATTAACAAATAGTGGCAGGCCTTTTACTCACCACAACTGCAGAGGCTCCCAGCTTCATTTGAAACAAACTACATTATAGACGGTCTGTTATTTATTAATCCCTCTGTATCTTTATATTTTTACTTTTTATCCGCTCCCGTTGTCTTTATAAAGTTAACACATCGCACCGTCATTTCAAACTCAGCACTTCCTAAATTGCTTTCAGATTAAAAGCCCCTTATAACCTCGGCTGAGAGAATCCCTCCATTTTCTAAATAGGCTTTTATTGTGAAACATTTGTAGGAACTTGGTTGTGGAGGACACAGAATATTTACGTATGGTACTTCAAATTGAGCTCCTGCCATCTGCTGGCGCTTTTAGGTGACTACAACAACATTTCGGCTGGCACGTGAACAGACACAGTTACTCAAATAATAGTAAAAGTAATAAAAATAGGACAAGAATAACCCAATGACATCACACACGTCGTGAAAGACGACCGGGGATAATTGATGAGTACCATCGTGTAGTGTGTCATGTCTGTCGGCCAAGTCAAGGCACGATTTTATGACTCCAGAATTGTGTAATGTGACATAGTGACTTTCAGAAGGGGCAGAAAAGTCGTGTAGTACTAGTGTGTACCAGGCATAATGCAAGTCCTGAGTCTGAACTGTCTGTCAGCGAGTCCTCCTCCACCTTTTTTAGACTCCACCGTAGACAACGGCAACATTTCTTCTACCATGTAGCGAGCCACAAGCTTCATGACTTCTTTCAGACTGATAGGTTTAACATTATCTTCATTATTAGAACCAACAGACAGTCGTTGCTGTTTCAGAGCTGAAGGACCAGCGTTCTAAAAGTAACGGAAGTAACTGATGGCTTGTTTGAAAATGTACTCAAGTATTTGATTACTCAAACAGCAAACTAACACGTTAGGTTACTCATTACTGCAAAAAGTAATCAAAGTACTCTAACGCGTTACTAATGGTCCCCTCAGATTATGTGTGGTCATATGCCTACAAAGTTGCGTGGTGATCGGTGAAACCCTTGAGATGTTATACACCTTTATGTGATGAGCCACGCCCTCTGCAATATTCATTGCCTTATAGAAGCTCAGTTTTTGTAAGTTTTCCAACTTTTGCCAAGAGAGAACTTTAGATATTGGTCCCTAAATTATGTTCACCAAATTTCATGCAGATCGGTCAAACCTCCCTAGAAGAGATCGATTTTAAGTGTTTTTCAAAAAATTCAAAATGGCGGAAAATCTATATAAGCGGAAGTTATGGGTTCTTGAGGCAAATTTGTTCCTCATGAGGAGAGGCATCTCTGTGCAAAGTTTCATGTCTCTACGACATACGGGGCATGAGATATGCCCATTCAAAGTTTGCAATTTCAATCGGTTGCTATAGCGCCCCCCTTTGGCCAATTGATGTAATATTGCTTCATTTGCATCCTCCCATGACCCTCTACCACTGTGCCAAATTTCACATGGATTGACCAAGTCAGTGAGGAGAAAAACATGGAACACACACACCCACGCACACACAAGCACACACACACACACACACACACAGACACACATAGTTTTCAGACAGACACACACACACAGTTTTCATCATTATATAGTAAGATACACAACTTGACATTTTACTCAGACTTCACGCGGGCTTAGTTAAATTTGCCTGTGAGATATGTTCTGCTGGGATATGGCAACACCACTTGGACAAACCACATGTAGAACTAGAACCTGTAATAATAATAATAATAATAATAATAATCACAATATTAATAATAATAATCAGATAAGTATATGATTGATTATGATTACATTTGCTAATGATTATTTTAGACAGAGGTGCGTGGTTTTGTTGTAGAATAGCAAATTGTTTTATTGATTGTATATATTTTTTTTATCAGTATATTGGGAGGGGATATTTTTTAGCATAATTGGCGGACATGTGTCCCTCCCAATATGTATTATGATCTCTGCTTTGCTTTTTAAGCCTTTCTGATAAACAGAAACATGCTCTTGAGGTCTTCTGTCATGTAGGACAGTCTGGGCATCCCTTTATTAAACAAAGTTATTTGATAACTGCAAATCCCATGAGGTTTGAACAGCATGCTAAAATGTTTTCATCACTTTGCAGAGCGCAGAAATCAGACAGAATATCTCTGAGTGCATTTCTCCTTTTGCCATTATAACAGCAGCTCTGCAGCTTGCAGTTATCCTTGGCCTGCATTTTTGAGTTAACTAAATACAGATGTGCTCATTGTGAGCAAATCTCAAAGTCCACCTCTGCTGCCGCCCCCTTCTTTGATTGGCTAGTGGAAATAGCTGAAGTTAGGGGAGGAGGAATTCTCCACCCAGCTGTAATTTACGAATCATTATTTCTTTCTCTGCTTTCTTCACACACAACAGTAAGATGGCCTCGGCACATGACAGAGCAGTACTCCAGGCTATATTCAACCCCACCACCCCCTTTGGAGACATCCCTGGCCTGAACCAAGAGGAGGAATTAATTGATGATGGTGAGTATGAGCTCCTGACTTGATGTGTCACTACATATCATGTCACGGCTTTTTATGTTTATCATTTCATAGCATATTGAATTTATTTGAACGCATTCCATTCCTGGACTAAAAAAACATGACATTTTAATCCAAGTTGAGTTCTGGGTGACATTTCTGTGTTTTGCTTGCCACGGTACCTGTCAATTGAGTTTGAGTGCTTTTTCAACCTGTTTATCTCCCCCTGCCAGACAGTGGCTTTGACACAGAGTTGCTGAAGCAAGTGAAAGAATTGGAGATGCGGGGTGTCTCGGCAGCAGAGGCTGGGGATTTGCAAGCTGCACTTCAACTGTTCAGCCAGGCAATCCAGATCCTGCCTCAGCGAGCCTCAGCCTATAACAACCGGGCACAGGCCCTGCGGCTGCAGGGGAACACAGCAGGTACATGCCACAAACTCAATAATAACCCTTTCCATGAGACGCCGCAGTGTGCTGACTGCTGATTCTGAGGCCAGCATGACATCATATCAGAGCTTTGTCTATCTGATGCACTTTATCAACAGTGTTACCGTAGAGGCTCTGAGTTTGCCTTGTGTCAGGTTCGCTTTACGTGCTGTCTGTCACAGGGGTGGCAGGGGTGTAAACACTGAATGCACAGAATTATAGGGATTTTGCTCAAGTCATATTTGAATTGTCAAAAGGTTTAGAATTATTTTTGTGCATCAGTGAACAAGTGTCCCCTGTATTTTATACATTCCATGTATTATTAAATACAGCATAGTCATTACAGAATTGACAAACGTAATGGATTATAACCAGAGTCATGGTACTCTAGATCCTGTCCTTGGTCTTCTGAAGGTCTGAGCCTCATCTCAGATTTGACAGCATTTTTTACTTGGTTGTGTCTCGGTCTTAGATAAAGAGGACTTATTTTATTTTCAAGACCAGTTAAGGCCACAACTGCGAGGATATCACCAAATTGCCTGTGCAAAAAATGGAGCGTTGATTAAAGACAGTGAAGTTAATTTCAGCTCCTTTAGAGTTTTGTTTGTATTTGTTTGCTCATAGAAAACAAATGAAAATTCCCACATATAACATCCACCTCTGTAATGTCCTTTGAGTAATTATCAAGACATTTCCCATGATAACTTTATACATATACACACATATATACAGGTATACAGTATATATCCTCCTGAGACCCTGCGTCCTCATATGAGGACCATATTTTTCATAATTCTGCTTACCTTAGACCTCTTGTTCTCATTCATGGACACCTTTTTGTGCTAGTGGTAGTACACTAGATACACTATTCCATGTAAAAACAAGATGGCAGCCATCTCTGCTAAGTCAGTCTGCAGTCAATCCTGACACAAAAGTGGACAAAGTACAAAACCTGATCACATTATATGATTGAAACTTGATTATTTATGATAAATTATGTTTGTTTTTTGATATTGCATACAGATTTGACCAATTTTAGCACAGTAACAAGCTGAACACTGTTAGTTAGTAAGTATTTGTTTGTGGACAGTGGGACTTTATTACTGCAGCATTTCACACAGGCCAATTAAGGTGAGGCAGTCTGTTCCTACAGACAAAAAGGACATCCCTAGCTTGGAGCATGGAGCAAGGAAGATTTAAACAGTTACAAAATAAACAAATGACAGTTTAGTTTTTCAAAATCATGTTCAGGCATTGAAATGAACAGTTCTGAACCGTTTTAGACTTGAACGTTGACCTCTCACCCACAGATTTACAACACACTGAACAAATGTTGCAATGTGTGTCATGTTGTTTTTGCACAACAATGCTCAGGTATTGAAATAAACAGTTTTATACTTTATAACACACTGGTAACTATCAAAAATAAACCCAATGTCTCCACATGAGGACATTGGGTTTAGTTCAAAATCTACTTCCTGTTCAAAGACAATGCTTAGTTTTTTATACTTATGAGATCCTACTGATCCCAAATAGCTTGAAGAAATTAAAAATTCAGCCTCAGGAGGATATGGCAATAAAGGAGTTGAAGAGGAATCTTCATTTGTTTTCATTTGTGGGTGTCTTTATGGGAATTTGGATCTTTCACATCACCTTGAGGAGTGTGGTTTGAATGTTCAACATTTTATTGTCAGTGAGTCATGCAGTGTGGGAGTCACATACGTCTGGTCTTGGTTTTGACTTGGTCTCAACCTCTCAAAGTCTCTTGTTTTGGTCTCAATACACTTTGGTCTTGGTCATGACTTAGTCTCTGTTTAGGTGGTCTTGACAACAGCAGTAATCAACACTTACAATATAACCCTTATCATTTCTATTATCTCATGTATTTGACACGAGTATTGCTGTGGTGTTTTACACTCCCAGGAGATCACTCTGTCAGTCGCACCATGTACTCAATTCTGCAACATCTTTTTTTTTTCGCTTGCGTCATCCACTTCTTAAATTGCTTTTTCTATGTATAGGTGATGCTTTTCAATTTGTCTGTAACCTGGTGCCAGCTGTTGTTCATGCCGACTAACAAGATCTCCTGAATGTTCCCAACAAAACACCTACATGTCTTTTTCAAATAATATGCAGAACATGTGAAATGAACAGAGCGTCATTGCTTGATTGATTAATGAAAAACATCAGTTAATTACAGCCAATTTAGTGTGATAACTATACACATATTTTTTTTGTTTTATTCGACCACATACTCTACAATCCTAGGTAGGAAAGTCAAGGCAAAACAAGCTGCATTCCTCAGAGTGAATATTGCAGTAGAACTAGACTGAGAAGATTTTTCCACCTGAAAATCAACTTTCAAGACATGTGTGCCTCACAGAGTTCTTCTCTCCCCTCAGGAGCACTGAGGGACCTGGACCAAGCCATCTCTCTGAGCGGTGGCACAGGACGAACTGCCTGCCAGGCGCTGGTGCAAAGAGGCCTTTTACGTAGATTAGCATGCCAGAGTGATGACGCCAGAGCAGATTTTGAGAAAGCAGCTGCACTTGGAAGTGAATTTGCTCGACAACAGGCTGTGGTTCTCAATCCGTATGCAGCCCTGTGTAACAAAATGCTGTCAGAGGTGATAAACAAACTACGAAACCCCGAGGTGTCCGAGAAGCTGTAGTTATTGTAGACTATTTGTTTACACCTGTCTGTTACTGCATGATGTCTGTGAGTAATAAAAGAACATTTTTAGCTTTTAATGTCCATTTTATTCCACTTACTATGCTGCTGTAAAACAAACAAGGCCGACTGCAAGCCAAATTTATTACATACTATATAATGTCAGCGACACACAGAGATAATTTCCTCTCATTTCCCTAAAAGACAGTTGAAATTAGCAGCAGGGTTGTCCTCAGCATGAACCTTGCACTGCTGTGCATAATCAGATTTGACATATAGGGTACGTGCTATCGTGCTGAGCGTTCAAATACCAAACTTGTTTTATGATGTGTAAGGTGTCACCACTCCACACAGATGAGATGCTTCAGCTTCTCTCCAGCAGATGTCAGTCTTGCCATGTTGAAGACAGTCAACAACTGCTGCCTTTGTTTCTCTGACAAAATGCTTTTCATCACAAGTATGAATTAAAAATGGATCAAACAACACTCAGCTCAGACTACCAATCAAAGGCAAATGATCTGATATTACAGAATATGAGGACCCCTCTCAAACACCATTTCAATGCATTTGTATATTTAATGTCCTTGGAGGGCTCATTGAAGATTTAATCAACTCATAAAACACATTTTTCCCACTTAGAGGCAAAATGATTTCAGAAGATGTTACAAGAAAATACAGGACAAGTAAATCACATCAAAATCTTCAGGAATTGCACTTCAGTGAATCCCTCAGTGTACTGTATGCTTGCAGGCTTCAGCACACAGCAGCTCTGAATTCCCTTTTGCTTCTATACATTATATGAATCTCTATATGCGGAGGATACATGTCATGCCTGAGTGATTCTAAACAGCATCACTCGTGTTGTGGTCCGCCCACTGAGCTCTGGGACTCCTAGCATTATCTTTTGTGCTTTACTTCTTTGTGTTTGTCTCCGACCTCTCCCAGGCAGACTAAGGCCACCGGGTCAGTGTGCTCCTCTCTCTGGTAGAAGGAGCAGGTTTTCAGGTGATGTGACATGGAAGGAGTGTTGCTGAAACTCCATCTGTCCACAGAGGAAAACAGAGAGCTGAACTCCCAAACCTGTACAACACAGACAGAGACAGAGCTGAAGGAGGTGTAGGAGGCTGCTGTCAGGGCATCTATCAGCCGTACTGCAGCAATGGCCTTGAGGATACATTTATTTTCAAAATCTACGGAATCTAGATCACATATCGAGTATTTTTACCACATGTCAGGCCATGATGTCAGTTCTGTATCCATGCATTACAAATTTATACAAATTATGCCCTTCATTGGGGGAGCAAATACCCAGCTGTCGCACACGCGGCCTTATCAACTTCTTGTTTCCATGAATGATCACATCTGACTTGTTATGGTAGCACTCTGTTTGCTGGCAGCCAGGCCTCACACCATTCCACATTGCTGATATAATCGGCACACGCTTTGTCACCTGATCACTGCGGTTCAGAGAGTCGGTATAAAAATACACACTTAAGGGTTTATACTCTGTTTATCCCTGATTGGCTCCAGCAGAGCAGAGAGGTTATGTTTGCTTGTTTGTTTGTCAGCAGGATATCTGAAAAACTAATTAGCAGATTTTTTAAGGAATTGGTGAAAGTTATTAAAACAGTAAGAGAAAAACTGACTGGTTAAACATAGGAGATCAACTACCCCACATTTAGCCTACATAAGACAGTGTTTTTTAATCATTTTTTATTTGCTGTATTGTTTTGCTCTTTCCTTCTTGACTGCCAAATTATTAAGACATGATAATCTCCTCATCTACCTTAAAGTAGCAGTGTGTAGGATTTAGTAGCATCTAGCAGTGAGGACTGTAGATTGTAATCAGCTGAAATTTATCCCATGTGCCAAGCATAAACTCCTGGTTGGAATTCCGTCAGTGTTCATTGTTCAGGAGATTTCTACTAGGAGCTGAATTATCCACAGAGGACTCCTGCGCTCTTAAACAGATGGACATGGTAATTCAAACTGGTAAAGACACTCAATAAAGCAGTTTCTTGTTAAAGCACCGGCACCTGCTATTGTGTGCCTACCTTTTTTCTCTGATAAGTTAAGATCCATTTGCTCAGGGGTTTTTTACTGGGAGCCAGAGGTCTCTTCATCTCTAAATTAAATAGACCCAGCGATTCAAACCAGTAGAAACACTCAATTAAGCAGTTTAACATAAAAAAAAAAAAAAAAACCTAAAACTATGTAACTAAAGACAGCTCATTTTGAGGGTAATGGAAACACAACAGTTTTTATTCTCAGGTGATGATACACTAAAGAAAACAGGCTTATTATGGTATATTCCATTTCTGCCCATATATCAACCTAAATCCTACACATTGCAGCTTTAAGGAATCCGAATGACAGCACTTCACTTAAAAATGGCACAACAGCAACATGATGAATATAAATGGCCATAGCACAGTAGTCATGTGTCTGAGTCACTTAGAATGTCATCCTTATACAGTACACAGCGCTCCCAATTCCATACAGGATTTAGATAATCTCCAAAAATCAAGGCAGCTGGAGGTGTCCTCAAGGCTCAGACCACTAGACTGCTGGGCGTCCCTGTGGCCTGGCGGTCTAAGCCATGGGGTCTAAGGTCTAGCATAGTCGTCTAATGTAAACAGAGCATCTCTGCTTTGAATCCCCTTCAATCCTGTTTTTCCAGAATCTTGCTTCTGTCAACTGTCAAATAAAGGAAAAATAAATCATGTAAGCCACTACCCTGGCTGTCTCTAAATATATAAGTGCTTTCTATAGGGCTGCAGTTGGTTTCTTTTATGGATTCTATACTAACTTATACTTTGGCTCAGCTGTCTTGTTACTGCCGCTAAGGCAACAGAAGAGACGAAAAAATTCTCCTCCCAAAACACTTCCTGGTGGTGCCTGACCCCACATGCAGCTGGTTTATGATAAGGACAGAAAAACCTAGCACATCTCCAGCGGCTGCTTCGGTGGGAACCTATTAACTGTTGCCAACACGGCTGTGATTCAGTTTGTAATATTGTTAGAGAGGACTACGGAGAGTCTGGAGAGTGTTTTCAATGCAACAGCTGTCAGGCTGTATGAATGACTGAAATTTTCCAGTGACAGTAAACAGAATGGTGCCAGATACTAAACTAATATAGATGTTGGGCCTTGTGTTTACTTTTCCTAAAAAGGTTGAGATCAGAATCATATATGGGATGGGATGGTAACAGTCAGTCAGTGATATAAATGAAAGAATAAATAAATAATGTAAAGGATACTTGCTTTCCTCCGACTTTTCCAGGAGCTTCCCCCATGGGAATATGTCTTTTTCACCCACTTGAGGGAGACCATCCCTCTCTCCTGCAACAATGTGGCACACACCTCTCTCATCAGATGGGAGACTTGGGACAGCTGAGATAATGTAAAACTGTCAAGGTAAGCAGCAATGTGCTGAAGGATCTCCAGGGGCAGGCTGCTCAGGGGATCCACATTATGTGCACCATTTCTCTGAGGGCTGGCGGTTTTCCCGCCTTCACAGAGGAATGGGGAGACGTCTGGCTGGAGGACGAAGGTGCTGACATCTTGACAGAATTTGATTGTGGCTGGGTGACCTGCAGGGTGAAACCTCGTCTGGGTGAAAGCACAGCCGAGGTATGCCAAGGGGCAGCGTTGTTGGAACCAGCCGCTCAGAGAGGCCTGTATGTCAGAGTGCACGTTCCTGAAATGCGAGCGGTATTCATCACGGCGGAAGAAGTGGCCACACATGTAGCTGAAGGCAGAGCTTGTTTTGTTGTGTCTTCTGGTGACAGATTCGGCTTGGACGTCTACATAGAGACCATGAGGTTTGTCTGCAATGACATCAGCAAGCGACGCATCTGTTTTGAAAGGAGCAGAGGCAAAGTTGTATGTTTGTGTTCCCTGATCTACGTAAAGACCGTCTCTCCCTACACTCTCTGAGATTATATGTCCTTTCAGTTCCTTTTCCAGGGAGAGCAGGAGTGTGGCGCTAACCTCATCGCACTTTGGAAGATCCTCAACTGACATGCCCAAATCTGCTGTGTCAACACTCTGGTGGCTGGTCTTGACTTTTAGTGCAGGGTCCTTCAGATATCTACACTTTGCTCGATAGCTTGTAGGGACATTAAATGTTCGCACTGTTCTAACCTCAATGGGTTCCAGACTCCCATAAACAAAATCCTTTTCTCTCGGGGTGCAAGCAGCAAGTTGGCCAAAGTTAATCAACATTGCCCCATTGTGCACCAGATACATGTTATATTCACCGATATTGAATTCTTTGCTTAACCTCTCAAGGACCCCATCTTGCCACGGCGCAAGGCCAGTTGCACCATCCCTGCTTGAAGCAGCAGCAGCATTCTCTTGGCTCCTGTGTGAGTCTCTTGTCTCCCTCTGACAGTTTGATGCTTCTTGCTCTTCTTTTGCCTTTCCTCTTTCCTCCTTTTTATTCAGGTTTTTGACAGTTTGCTTGCATCCCTCCATCTCCTTGTTGAATATTTTCTCCCAGGAGCTGTACTTCTGAATACCATCCATGTCCCGGCTACTTGCCAGAGCATCCCTCTCCTCTTGGCTCAGCTCTGTTACGTCCATGTCTGTCCAGCCATTTTCTGTAAATTCACCGCAATCTAAAGAACAGGTTGCTTCATCTGCGTGACTGTTGACCCCAGCAGAAACATCCTGAAGGGCAGGATCCTCCACCATCAACTCAGGAAAAATGTTCTTCATTTTGATGGATCGAAATAACAACTCTTGGTCCCTGAGCGCCATAGCAACATCAAGGTTTACCTCAGTTTGAGAGCTGTCTGAAACATTTTTGTAGAAGGCCAGATCTTTGTCTGAAATAGGCCAGCGATTCCAGTCCTGAGAGCAGCAGACCACGCTGGCAGGACAGACCTCCAGGTGTTTGGCCAGCCTGTGGCGCAGCATGGTGAGAGGACAACCATAGGAGACGTTGAGGCAGGGGACCATCTCATTGGGACACAGAAGCTGGTGCTCCTCTTCCTTGCACATGTGGAGGAGGGCGCCACAGTTTTTATGACACTTGATGACCATGCATGAGACAGAGGTCTGCACCGGGACTTGA